AACAAGGATGAGATTACCTTCAAATTGTTGTGTAATCATTCAAAATAACATTATATTCACCAACATAAAACCATAATCTTACAAAATCATCCACTAATTACAAACATGCAAAACCCTAATTTCCTTGATTGACACTAATTGCAAAGATTAAACTTAGTATTAGGAGTATACCTTCAATAATATTCACATATTCATAAAAAATTCATCACTTGATCTTTGATCCTCCAAGAATTGAAGTTGTTTGAGCTTAAGTGTGTGTAATTCGCACCTTTACTGTGTGTGCAAGTTATGGGACTGAAAATGGCCTAAAATGGGGKCTAAAATCGACTTTTCTAGGTTAAATCCGAGTTGGGTCGGGTTTGACCCGCCTAAGTACCCATTTTGACCACTAAACACTAAAAATAACATAACTTTTCGCTCGGAGCTCCGTTTTCGATGAGTTTTCGCCTACGCGTTCGTAACGAAATAATCTACAACTTCCAATAAAAATATTCCAGAAAAGATCTTATTAAAAAAAATTGGTTTTACGAATCCATAGCTTAATTGTTGACGTTTTGACTCGATTTCTCCAATTTTCTCAATCTAACTCCGATTGGGATGAAATTTTCTAAATCCTCTCATATACTCCAAGGAAGTATGACCTTAAAATTCCATCCCCAAACTCCCACTAAATCATTGGTTACCTTATATGGCCACTACTAATACACGTAGTAAAATTTCAACATGCTTAACATTTTCTCGCATGTAAGCACATAATATCCTTCGTAAAATGTAAATTAGGCGCACTTAGCAAATAATATGGGAAATTAGAATTGGGATGTTACAGCAAATTATACTATAATTTTATATATTTTATATCTAGATAATTGGTTTGAGTCTCTAAACATACCAAACAATTAAAATAAACTAGTTTATATTAAAACTAAAAGAACAATATATTGAGATAGATTTAACAAAACTATATTGAAGAACTAAGATGCCGTATCTGGAAATGGATTTAGCAAAGCAATACATAAAATATTGGTATGAATTTATTTCTTTTGATTTTAATAGAAAAAAAAAATCAAATATGTAAGGTCTTGTAAAAGTTGGATAGATTTGAAACCAAGCTATTTAAGAAGGATAATTTCTTTTTTAAGATAAATTCAATACGTTTTTTAATCTTTGATTGGGGTAAAGAAAATCATTGTTGTCTATGAGAGTCATTGCCGATAAGTTAAGTATCACAGTAAGCACTTATTTATATAAGCAACTTTAAACTCTTATCACCCCCATAATTAAATTTAAAAATAATTAAATAAATTTTATATTTATTTTAAGAATCATGTAATCAGATATCTGTAATTCTATAAATAAGAATTTTGTCAAACATGAGATAAATACAAACTTGAAACAAGTTTCACGAGAATTATTATATCATGTTATCATTATTTAACATAAAACACAACAATCAAATTTATCATTAAAAAAAGTTTTTAAAAATATATAATATATTAATATATAAAAATTCAACAAATAAATTTACACACTTTTATTTCAAAAATGAGGTTTGAACCGCTAATCTCTTGGAAGGTTAAAAACTATGGTACCGATGGTTCAAAGTCCTTTTGATATCATAAAAAATAGTTGCTATTTCAGTTTGGTCAAAAGACAATTCATATATATATATATATATATATATATAGGAGCGATCAAATGAAAACCACTCCAATTTATAAAAACCGTAAAAGCTACTCTCATCCGTCGTTAATCTTATGAAATTTTTTCATAAAATTGTTAATATTGTGAAATTGTTTCATATAATACTTTTTTTGATGAAGTTGCTTCATATGTTGTTATGAAATTGTTTCATATACTACTTAATKAAATTTTAATGAAACTGTTTCATGTATTTCTCTAAAATTAAAATAATGAAAATGATAATATCCATGATTAACACCCTCCACAATAAAAATGGTTAATCAACCTCTCATAATTACAAAAAAATGAACAAAATGAAAAATTATGATTGATTGAATGAGGTTTTTACGGTTTTTACAAATTAAGTGATTTTTATTTAAACCCACCCCTATATATATATATAGAGGAGTGATCAAATAAAAACCGCCCTCATTTGTGTAAACCGTGCAAACCACCTTCATCCGTCGATTTCATTGTTTAATCTTATGAAATTTTTTCATGAAATTGTTTAATCTTGTGAAATTATTTCATCTTGTGAAATTGTTTCATATAATACTTTTTTTGATCAAGTTGTTTCATATATGGTTGTAAAATTGTTTCATATAATACTTAATAAAACTGTTTCATGTATTTCTCTAAAATTAATGAAACTGTTTCATGTATTTCTCTAAAAAATAAAATAATAAAGATGATAATATCTATGATTAACACCCTCCACAATAAAAATGATTAATCAACCTCTCATAATTACAAAAAAATGAACAAAATGAAAAATTATGATTGGTTGAATGAGGTTTGCACGGTTTATACAAATTGAGTGATTTGCATTTGATCGCTCCCGTATATATATATATATATATATATATATATATATATATATATATATATATATATCCGCTCGATTAATGAAGCCCCAGATGCTATGTTTCAATTATGTTTCCCAAAGCAATGGGAGGAGCCCGAGGCTCTAACCACGTGTCTGTTAAAGAATGAGTCAGCGACTCATATCCAGTGGCAAGACTTGCATCAACAATGGAAACGTACAACCATGTCAACAAAACAACATGAAGAATACATATTATCAGCCATCAAAAGTGCACAGTTTGGATTTCACTTGACTTGTTAAGATCACTTGTATAGATCATCTATCTGCTCTTTATATAGTTCCGCAACTCTATTTCTTCGGATCTTCATGGTCGCGGTCATCAAACCACTATCAATCTGAAATTCCGAAAGGGTGGTCGGTCATCAAGATAGCGTTAAAAGAAGTCAGTTGTAAAGTTTAAGCTTGGGGGCTGTTTACTAAATGCTTATCGGGTAAGCGTCAATAGACGCTTTCTCTTGCCTTGTCAGTAATATACTCAGCCATAAAACTGGATTGTTTGCAAGTATTTCATACTGATAAGCGCTATCCGGGTAAGTGTCTTTTTCCATTCCTACCGCATAAGAACCTCGGTTGTCTCATGTATTTTAGGGAGAGATTTTCGGTACTTGTCATGCTCATCCGGTAAGGTAAGTGACCCGATAAGCTTTTGTTAAACGCCCCTCCATGACGTCAAATATGGGGCAATAAGTTTTTGTTTCGTCTTATATTGTCCAGTGTACCGAACACAGCTTAAAGATAGTTTCTTTGCAACAATGCAAGAGAAAAGTGATTTGCAAAGACTTCCGAAGAACTGAAGAGTTGTGATGTGTTAGGTTGTCTAGCTAAGTTAAGGGGAAAAGGGGTTCGAACCCATGACCTTGAGGGATTACTACCTAGGGGCGAGTCGGATACCATTTATGCTAACCACTTTATGATTATAGTTGCTTAGACATACCAAATAGTCGTTTGTAACCGGAGGATCATGGATTTGATACAAAAACAATTTCTTTGCGAAGTGCATGAAAAATGTTGTGTAGAAAGACTTCCATCTAAAATCATCACATAGCTAAAGAGCCTTGTCCGGCTGCCGAGACAATGGGGAATGGGGGTTCGAACCCACAAGCACCAAAGGATGACTACCTAGGGACGAATTGGATAAGATTCAAGCTAATTAAATACTTGATGGCTAGTGTCATATTTAGATGTGCCAATGTTTAAATTGAAAACAGAGTAATGCATGCATATTACCGTAAAAGGCTCTTCTATGACAAGAATGGGTCCGATCTGAAATGAGCAATCAGAAGTCCTGCACGAAGAGATGAATCCAGTTATATAGCAACAAGAGCAACCAATATTATTTAGCCCATTGTCGTTTAGAGGGTTATTTAGCTAAATGGCTTCCTGACAACTGATTTATAAATCTACGTCCTTCTGGCAGGTTTTTAGGCATTCTTATGAATGGAAATGATAATCTTCTGTTACGCAGTGACATTTTCAAACTTGTCAAAAGGTCATGGTGAATGGAAATGTGATTGTAAGCCTCATTTAGTGGAGAAGAGAAAACACTGAAAATAAGTCAGGAGACACCGGATATTAGTCAAAAACCTAAAAAGGTTGGAAATATTGATTCAACGAGTCCTCAGAAACATGGTAATAGGGTTAAGGACTTCTAAAACTTTTGAATATGGTAAGACAAGGCAGTATGATTATGAAAGTATCCAAAACCAAATGTCAAGTTGCAGTAGCTACAACAATTAAAAATATATGCAGAGGGAGTTTTTGTTACCATTTCCGAAGCTCTGCAGATAACAAGCCAACCATTTGCTCCTTGCTAAGTTCAGCAACACCAGAATCTGAACTTTTGGCTGCCAATAGAATTTCTTCTTTGTTTGGAACAATGATGGCTCCAAGGCGACGTTGATCCTGGTTGTCATTTGTAGCATGACAAATGAAAATAGTATTACCCGCTGTGCCGAAGTTGATGAACCCGTGTGCAATGTTTAGAGAAGATGAAAGTGTGATAATATATGAAACCCCATTAAAAAATTCTCAAGGAGCCCTGAGGAGAGGAGAGGTTCTAACATATATTGAGGATAAATGGTCCAAATCTAACCGACATGGGACTCTATCAGAAAGGATCTGAAAATGAACGAAGATGGAGGTTTTTAAATTAGAAGTGTTACCTGCCCAATGACAACTATTTGTTGGACCAAACTACTTCTCATGGCAGCTTCTTCTAGCTGTTCTGGTTCAACGTTTTCCCCTAGTACCCACTAAAATAGTCAATCAAGTAGGAAATATAAAGCAAATCAAGAACTTTCAAAACAAGATATAGAACCAAAGGATCATGGTCTAGCGGTACCCGAGTTACCGATTGAGCCCAACCTCCAAGGAGGTCCAAACCTCATCAAAGTTGAAGTGTGCGCGAGTATTTTTCGTATATAAATATTATAGACTTGAAAGAAAACAAGAAATAGAACAAAGAAAGAAAAGAAAATATTGACTAGATCATGATAAAACCTCCGGACCTGTTGAAAGGACAATAGTATCCTTGGCACGTCCTTCAAGAACAATAATGCCTCCAGAATGTCGACTTCGTCCTATAGAATAGGAAGGAGAAATCCAGCCAATATCCCCTGTGTTTAACCAACCATCCTCATCTAAGGCTTGCTTTGTCGCAATGGGATTCTATATCAAACAAGCAGATAAACTATCACCATGAGTACTCTGAACAATCCTAAAAAACAACCATCATTAGTCAATATTAATTTCAATACATTCCAAATTTCTTGATGTAAAAGAGAATCATAGATAACAAACTGTTGGTTCTAAATCATCTCAAGTGAACAACCAACAATTCAAAAACGTTTTTTTGTGTCCTCCTGATAAATAAGCATTTTAAGTGAGGTACCTTGTAATAACCCTGCATGATCTGAGGTCCCCTGGCTTTGACAATTCCCTTTGAACCAGGAGGAAGGTCTTCACCTGTTTCATCATGTACAACTTTTATTTCTGTATGCCGAATTGGATGCCCAACTGAGCCAAGAACCTTCAAATGTCACATCTATAATGTTGTCATATAGTCCAAATCTACAGAAGTAAATATAATCCAAAAAATGTCACATCTGGATTCATATATTACATTGCAATCTGGTCGTCGAGCAGCTACAACAGGAGATGACTCTGTTAATCCATATCCAACCTGGATTTTCGTGCCAATTGCCTGTAAACATATCAACATGAGCACACTACCTATGCTTCAACCTGGTAATATATATAAAAAAAGCTCCAAACCTCGAAGAACTTGTCAACATGCAAAGGCAAGCTACCACCTCCACTTATGCCAGCCTGTAGGACGTGACAGATATCTTGATTAGAAATTTATTTGATGCTTCTTCAATCACCGTTTACAATCCTAGACATCCCACTTATCAAGTATGAGTGTTGATGAGATGCCCTATATGTTACTCACCATTATATGATTAATAATTCTCTTGATAATATTAAGTATATACAAAATGGTAATTCCATGCTAAATCATAAAAAGCCTTAAAATGGTAATTTTCTGTCATTCAGCCCGTCCATCCGGAACACTTGCCAAACAGCCTTTTTTCATTCAGCACTAAATCATATAGAGCCTCTTAATAACAATTAATTCAGCAACTAGCCCCTCAGATGTTGAAACATATTTAGTACCAGAGCCTGAGCATCTTGGAATATAAAGAAAAAGTTTTCACTCAAACACTCCAAATAGAATTAGAAGCTAGACCACTAGATTCAATAGGAGGACCACAAAAAGAGTAGTATATCAAACCTTTGAAAGCCCAATTGACGAGTGGATTTTACTGTAAATAACCTTCTTTGCCAATAAATGCAATGGAAACAAAATTGCCGCAATAACCCGTGCATATAGCCAGTCCAACATTGCAGCAATGTAAGAAGGCTGCTTCTGATCTCTTGACAAGTATTTACCCTATTAGGCAATATGAAGACTAGTTAGAACATTATATTATCAAATAATCGAAGGTAATTGCTCTCATGCGCAAGAAACTAATTAAACAAACACTGGATATGGCATATTGCCAAACACTACTTAAAAGAACTTCTGAATTTTATTGATTGAAGTCCATGGTATCAGAAGTTCAGAAACAAACTTTTATATCAGCAATCCCAAGTGCATGAACATTAAACATTTACTGTAATAGGCTTCAAATCGACCATCATTTCTCGTACTAAAACAAATGTGAAAAGTTAATAAGATGCTGGATGTTGAACCTCATGTATGTTTTTAAACTCCATGTATACCATACTGATCCTTAGAAATGAAACTGCAACCAGCTTACGGATAGTGGAGCTGGTGGATATCTGTTTTTGGATCCCACTGCAGAGCAGGAAATACATTTCAATCAACAAGAAAGATATAATAGAAACTAGGAGTAAAGTCAAATCAACTAGGCGCAGAGAATAAATGTTTGGCATTGGGAAAGAATACGTGAGATTATCTGGAAATTACTCAAACCGATATCAGATACATTCACAAAGCTAATAGCTATTTCAAGAGCTATCAACTACTTGCTTATGAGGGAAGGGATTTTAAATTAAGAATAATAAATGAGAAACTGTAAGTTTGAATTTTCTTTCGATTCAACAAGTCATAGCACCTCAAGCTGCTACAACCTCCTTTCTGCTTTGTTTCTCCTATCTACTGAGATACTTGAGCAACATTTGGAACTACCGCTACCTCATTCAATTTCTTAAAGGAATTCTGTGCAAGTATTCTTTCTCCAATAATATCCAATTTCCAAACTCGCTTAACTGAATGTATTACATTATTTTTATTGAATCATTCTGAAGTTATAGAGAAAAGGTACCTGTATAGAGTTTGAAATACTAGAGGGACAGAAATCATGAATTGTGGTTGATAGTGCCGCAAATCATCCTACAAAGAAAATAACTGCATATCAGAAGGTAGGTGAACAGAATGAGCATGGCATCAGCAATAGTGAAAAAAGATTTACTGATTAAGAAAATACTCCTTCACGTTTTCAGAAGCACAGGAAATAGCACGATAATATATCATCCATCATCTGTATCTAATGAATTCCAACTGGATCCAGAAAATACCTTCAAGTTTTTCACTGTTGTGTATACTTGTTCGATTCCCAGAGAAAGTATAAAATACTCACAAGCACGTTCGTATGCATGCCAAGGTGGAAGCATGCTTAGAAATCTATCCCCAGGTGCAGCAGGGACAATGTCCCACAAATTATGAACCTAGAAAAGTGTGGGAGAAAAAAATCTTAAAGATCAACATGAAAACTGATAACTTGAGGAAGCAATAGATATCCGGCATTATAGTAATAATATATGCACATAAAATTCATTACTGTGACACATCACAAACTTCTGCCTCCCATAAATATTAAATAAACTAGGGTGACAGAGAAAGGGAGGCAGAGGAGGTGTATTAACAGAAATTCCAATCACATATCAGGCAAAATAATCAACTCAATGACATATGTAATCGAATGACGAATACTTTTGTTGCCAATTGATTTTGAGATGTAAGCCCAATGGGTTCTTTTACAAAGCATACCAATCTAAATGAAAGGGGCAAAAGGCACACATTTGTACCTGGTGCAAAAGATTACTATGTGTAAGCATTACTCCTTTTGGGTTGCCAGTGGTCCCGCTTGTGTATATAAGAGCAGCAACCTCATCAGACTTGATGGGCTCATAAACATACTTTTCACCTAAAGACCACAATGTCAGTCAAGATGCACACTAACTTTTAAAACCAACAATGTACATAGAAGTGAATTACATATGCATAAAGAATCAAACAGATACGTTCTTTCTCGCACACATTTCCTTGTTTTGTCAATTTTGTACGTTCTGAGGAAAATTTCAGACAAGAACGATAGCAGGGCAAATAAATCAATGGATTAACTTATCCTTGCCTTCTCAACACTACAAAGCTCCAAGACTATGTTAACCTCCAACTAGTAAATATGAGCCCATCAGGGGGATTTTATATGTATATAATGAAAATCTCCAAGTAGCACCAGCTTGTGAGCACACTTCAAGTATATCTTAGTTCTGTATCTTCCCCAGACATTTGGCCGTTTCATTTTCTGTGCTCTAGAAAGGTATAACAGGCACTATCCTTGTACTTTTATAGGTTAGAGGTATAGTCATCTAGATTTTTCTAAATTCCATTGAACAATACCCTGTTGCCCTCAGCTGTTCCTTACGTGTTGGATGCTGAACTTGAACATGCTCTAAAAAATGTGTCAAAAGCAACCAACTCTAGATCTTGAGAACGTGAATGTAAATGGTTATACTCTAGCCAAGAAGAATTTAAATGCTGGTAGCTATTGTAAATTGACTTACGGGCATCATGTGAATCAACCAAAACCGCACGATGTTCATGACCCATATCTATGATCTCTTTGTAGCTATAAGCAGGAATTCCCTCCATCATATTGCTAACTAAGGATGATTTTTCCCCCCAAAGTAGGATGACAAATCTAACAGTTGCCTTAGAAATAAAGCCCTCTGCAATCCGATGATATAATTCAGGGTTGTCCACAGCAAGTGCAACACTGTTATAGAAAGAATGCAAAATGATAACACAATGTTATTCTCTGAAGTGTAAAAGAAAGCAGACAGGCATCATAGCTAATTATTGACAAGAGGAAGAAAGACTTGTAGAACCTTTTATACAATTAAAATTACTGCAAAGAAATAGAATGCTTTATGTAACACATTCATTAATAATTTGTAACCCTTGGCATTCTGAAAAGCATTCCTGTTTAACTGTTCAAGGGACAAACTTAACACGCCTAAAGTCAATATTAACATGATCTTTGCAAGCTAGCAACCATTCATTTCCTTTCTCTATGTATAGTAACTCTTACATAGTTTAGACTTGCTATCAGTTTATCTCTTACTATTGACCAAATTCAAATCGGTTATGAAGTTGAAAGTAGTCCATTTGATTCTCAAAAAGTCAAATGGGATTCTTCCTTCAGAACAAAGATGATTATACAGTTGCTGAAACAAACAGAATGAACATTTGAAACGGAATGCCTCTGCTAACCTTTCAGAATGATTATAGATGTGTAACAGCTCTTCTACAGATGACCTGGATCCTCTGACAACATTTATTGCTCCTGTGGCCATAATTCCTGCAGCCAAACTTGTTAGGGTTTCTATATATTTGGTTTCTTACATCAACCTGTTAGCATAAAATACAACCATACATGAGTTTGTAATTTTCAAGTTTTTAGATGCAAGAATAAAAAGAAATGACCCTGCATTGAATGTGGATTGATTATAATCAGAAAGCAAAAGCTGTGTGACAAAATCAAGTCAAACATGACTTCAGGCATTAAGTTTACTACAAAGATGTACGTGATCTACCTTGATCAGCAACAAGCCACCGGCAGGAATTGTCAGCAAAAAGTGCCAGCTTTTCGCATGGCTTGATCCCAATAACTCTTAAACCTTCAGAAAAATCCAAAATTTCCTGCTCTACCTGCAAATTTCAAAGTCACAAGCAAAGGTTCAAATAAAAATGTTCTGTAGGTAAAATAGAAAAGGGGAAATTGTTGCGTCATTAAGACAGAAAGTGAGAAAACAATTACACAAATCAACCTGGTCAGCAGTAAAAATTGGAGAGAAGAATATTAGAGATGGAAAAGGAAAGGGTAAAACAGAAGAAGACCTGCTTGTAAGTCATGTTTGTAGGAGGGTCGTGATGTGGATCCACCAAAGCGACCCGATCACCAAACCTTTCTGCCGAGGACCTCCAAATGTCAGGAATTGTTTTCAATTCATCAGTCAATACATGGTTTTCTGACAGCAATGGACCCTCAAGAAGAGGTGAATACTTTCGAATTTCCTTGTCTTCCATCTAGAAGTGAGCATTATGTTCGAAAAGTCATTATCTTTTATCGAAGATTGTTATATCATGGTTTTACATCTTCAATAGAAACAATCATGAAGCTAAAGAGAAATGAAAGTGCAAAAAGGAGACACAACTCCTGCATTTATGAGCACACCAAGAAATATGATGTACACCTACTCTTTCTTTAACATTGTACTGAATATAATCAAAACACATTGATGATTAGTCAAAACATCAAACCGACCATCACAATCATCTCATAGTATTTTAAATGATGATACACTGTCAGCATTAGACACTTACGAATATGGTTATTTGACCACAAAATACGAACTGCTTTTGAACCTCTCACACCAGTTGGCTAATTGCCGTATTGCACATGACCGGTCAAACAGAATCAGCATTTAATCACCAACATCTATTGCAATCTGAATGTAACATGAAGAAATGCGAACAAAATGCCCATTAGCTTAAAAATGGACAAATTTGCATCATAATAGCTTTGGTGCTAGGTCATTCTACTTAGTTGATGTTAACACAGCTGCATTACATATGCACTAGGCCCTTCTTATCATCTTCCGAATAGCTCAACATGTCACTAATCAGTGCTTTGTGTTGCCATCCTATTTGCTTCAAGGCTCTCAATGTGGATCTCAGTACCATAGCAAACATATGTGCGTCTCCTTGCACTGTAGTTTATTTGGTAGTTATCATCTTCCAAAAAGTAGACTACAAATCAATTCTGGGTTTTTTTCTACCAGCAGTTGTCAAATTAGCATGCAAACTATCTGATTAAGCTCTTCTTTTAGCATAAAAAAGAAATGGACGTTGCCTTTCTGATGGCACAAGTACAAGTCTGGTATGCATAACTAACAACACTATCCATGCTCAAAAAAGGGCACCAGAAGGGCCTATTAATTCTATGTCCATAGGTATAGTTTGAAAAGCATGCCAGAGAAGAGCATCCTCGAGATTATCCCTTTCATCCTAATCTCATTTTACTTAAAATGGGGTCACTTCAATCACCTGAAGAGATTTTTATGCTGACCAAGGCTTCGAAGGAGCTTAATCAAATTGAATAACTGGACTGCAGGCATATAAAATTTGTAACTCAAACCCTAAACAATGAAGGCCAGTAAGCCAATTAATGCAACGATTTCCAAGACATTGGGTGTCTGTACCAAATGGTCATTATACCTATAAAACAGAAGTCGTGACTTTGAATCTCAAAAGAGACATAATTGACATTCTTGGCCATTTCAAAGAAAAATGATGCTTGAGGTCAAGTGGTGTTCCCTGATTTGGAATTGCAGACTATAGACAACTCAATATTCAGTTGACTAACTTTTTTCAAATTCACACTTCATATGAATATTTTTACAAGTCCAATACCACTAGTAAATCCTACCCTGACTTCGCTAGTTTGGTTTTTAACTTTACTAGTAAATGTATTTGTTAGAAAGTTATATGTATGTATCAAAATTTTGCTTTCATGACATAAAGAATTCATGTAAGTTCTGAAGTTTAAAATATAGAGTAATTAGCATGTCAAATTATTGTACTTGTACTTCTTCCTCATTAAAAATTGTTATGAAAATGCAAAACAGAAAGGAGAAAGTAATTCCTATTGTCAGAAGAAGAAAAACACAACATTCTAATGGCCTAGTGGAGTGTTTTTTTGCTAATTCTGAACTATCCTTGATGTTTGTTGAATGACTTGAATCATTTAACGGTTTCTTACTGCCATTTTGGCGGGTAATTTGTTGTTTAGATGAAGAGATGCAAGGACAATTGTTGTGACCTCAATTTTGCTTTTCCCTAGCAATAGAGAAAGTAGAGACGGACCACATTATTTTGCTAGTACTAGCACGGTCCAATTCAATCTATGCATCAAGCCGGTCAACACACAAGTTAATCAACTTAAAATAATTGACTCCGATTCTCCTTCGATTCATCATCCATAACAAACATTTCTCAATAAAAAACATATATTCCTTGAAAGATCAATACTTAAAAAGAGTAATTCGGATACCTTAGATTCGGAATAAACTCGAATCCGATGATACAGACTGACACGATCACGTCTACCGCTTTTGCTACGGAAAAACACATTTTCGGTGTTGACGTTGACGCACCGGTACTGATGGCAAAACGAATGCCGCTTCCGGCGATGGTAAGACTGTGAACCGACGACGTTGGTTGAAGTAATTGCAATCGACATTGAAGGAGGTTGAAACAAAGGATTCAACAAAGCTGTGGTGAATATCATGTTGTGTGTGTGATTGAGTAGGTGAAACTTTGAATTATCCGGAATGGAGAAACCGGAGAGAGAAAGAAGCACATTGGAAGTTTCGTAATCACTAACCGGCAGTGTTGATGTTGATGCTCCGATCTTGCTATTCAACGCCCCAAACCCACTCCCCTCCCACCAAATTTTTTGAGTTAAATACAAATTTGGTCCCTGTAGTTTACATATATTAACGAATAATGTCCCTGAAATAAATTATTAACAAGGGATGTCCATGTTGTTTCATTTTTATAACGGATATGATCTTTCATCTACCTCATACTCATTTACTTAAGTTTTCGTTAGTGAAGAATTTTTGTCTATTCACTTTCCTCTTTCTTTAACTTCAATTTTCAATAACAAATTTGGTCTCTCATACTACTTTTACTTTTGTAACATATTTGTTTCCTCAAACTAATTTATATTAACAGGTTTAGTCCCTCAAACAATTTTTTATTTTTATAACATATTTGATTATTTTCTGGACTTTCATTTTTAGGATTTGGTCTCTCCATTTAATCAATAAAATTTGATGGCACAAATATATATATTTTTTATATATAATTAGCAAAATAAATAAATAAAATTTGAAACTTAGATTTTTCCATAAAATATTTTATCTTTTCATAAACATTATTTTCATGAAATCCTTTAGATTAAATAAAACATAATTTTGATGATTGTTTTTTTAATTAGTCGAATTATAAAAAATTCTAAAACTAAATACCCGACAATATATTAAATTATAAGATATAAAGGTATAAGTTTAAGTAATTTAATAAGCTTAATTAATATACAAAAAATATATTATACAAGTCAAACTACAAGCATTATGTTGACTTTAAGCTTTGAACTTCTCAATCTTTAATCTTGTTGATCTCGGATACAATAATATTGGACCTAACAGATTTCATGAAAGTAATGTTTCTACAAAAATAAAATATTTAGTGAAAAAATCTAAGCTTCAAATTTTATTTGATTATTTTGCTAATTATATTTAGAAATTATATGTTTGTGCCACCAACTTTTATTTCATTAAATGAACGGATCAAATGCTAAAAAGGAAAGTTGATGGAGGGATCAAATCTATTATAAAAATAAAAAATTATTTGAAGGACCAAATCTGTTATACTAATGTAAATTAGTTTAAGGGACCAAATATGCTACAAAAGTAAAAGTAACATGAGGAACCAAATTTGTTATGGAAAATTGAAATTGTGGAAAGAGGACGATGAACTGACAAAAATGTCCGATCACTAACAGAAACTTAACCGGAAAAGTTAGAACTAATATTTTCATTGTTTTATTTTAAAAAATGTTTTCCTACATTTCTTTAATTTAAAAAAAATACAGTTTTTTAGTTTTAATCATTCCAAGGACTTTTTTTAAAGTATTTTTGAAATTATTTACTTACTATAGTTTAATTATTAATATAATTTAATTAAATTATTAAAATTATATTTTTATAAAATATATAGTTTTAATTAATTAATTAGTTTTTCATTACTATAAATTTAAGTTCGATATTTTGAAAAAAAAAATTGGTAACTATATTATAAAGGTTTTTATTTAACACATATTAAAAGAAATATTTGAAAACGAATCATTTTTTATCAATAGAATCTTACCCTGTAAGATCGATGATAAAGATGGAGAGTCTTAGCCGGTAAGTGAGGGTGACGACTCTTACCCGGGTAAGCGCTTACCAGATAAATTGTTGCATAAGATACGTTTTGATATACTACAATTTTACCAATAAAATAAATTATAGTGTTGACTTCTAACGTTAAATACTTACCGGACATTTAGGTAAACGGCCCCTAAATATATTCAATAAGGTATTCACAAAATCTTTTTAAAGGTATAATTTACAATTTAAAATACGTATTTTTGATATATTGTTAGTTAAAATTATAATTAAATTAATTAATATAGTAAAAAGCATAAATTGAAAAATGGAATGGTGGGATAGACGAAAAATGAAAAAAAAAACATAAAAATAATTCTAAACAAAATAAATAAAACTTATAGTTCAAAATGGAAGTGTGAGGGACCAAATTGAAAACAAAATGTAAATTTTGAGGGGTTTTGTAATAAATAGAAAATAAACTTATGTCGAAAAAAGGGAACATGCATTTCATTAGGTCGATAGATTTCGATCTAATGAGATCATGAAAGTTAGGTCGACAATAGATGTATCTTTATTTTTCATTTATTTAAAACTAGAAGGGTATCCGTATAATACAATGATATATATATATCTTGATTTTTAGTATTTTATTTTATTTTTTTATCTCAATCGATGTTATAATATGGTCTTATGTAATTTTGAAAAAATAATGATATTTTTATTTTTGAATAAAATATAAATTTAAAGATATCATAAAATTTGACAAAATTATAGCGATATTAATATCAAATTAACTATTTAAAATTCCTCATTTTTTATTAATTTTTAATTCAAAATTTTTAATTATAATTTAACTTAAGCTCAATAACGAAGTAATTTATATTTGGTTTAGTTATATAATTTTCTTATAAAAATAATAGTTAATTATTTTGTTAGAACCTGATAATTATCCTAATTATATTGTGAATTTTTTATTTTTTTGAAATGAGATGTTTATCATATATTTGATTATGTTTATCTACAGTTAGTTACACGAATTCAAACATGAAGCTTGAATAAGATGTACTCATGCATATTCTATTTATAACTTTGAATTTTAAATAATATGCATCAATAAATAATACTTTATACATAAAAAATGTTTTTAAGAGTTTTTCGTCAAAGACTTTATAATATATTATAGATTCAACTAAGTGGAATAAGTGGTCTCTTTTGATTTACTACAAAGTCAAATAAATCAATGATTGTCTCAATATAAATTAGTGGAAAATTGTCTCCAATAATCATTTTTCATATTTAAATTGGTCTCTTAATCATTTATCTTCTGATTTTATCAAAATGTCACTATTTTCACAACATCCATGTCTGCAATATTAGCTAAAAGACAAAAAAAGTTAAAATTCAACACAAATATGCAATTTCGACAGTAAACTGGTTGAATTCGATTTTTTTTGTCTTCTAGTTAATATTGTGAAAGTTAGATAAATCTGGGAGAAAAATAATTAGAAGACCATGATGGCATTTGTATTCCAATCCAGCACAACCGACTCCACCCTGCCGTACCTCGTCACCACTGCCTGTCTCGCCACCACCGACAACAACATCTTCCTTTCTACTATAACTCTCCCTCAAGATTCACGAACAGGTCCTCTATGTAAAACCTAGTTTTGCTAAAAACGTTGAATAATTAGAGAAAAACAGAATAAATCCAGCTATCACCACATATGGTTCCAATGTCGATGATTTGAAGAGTTCTAATTCCTGATCAAATATCGGTTAATCGGTTGAATGCTGCGATGGTACATCTTGAGTATGGTAAAAGAAAGGAACCCTTAAAATTACGTGTTGTTATTGTTAATTATCATTAATTATAAATTATTAGTTGACATTAATTTCAATTTATTAATTAATTTTAATATTAATAATAATTTCAAT